TCGAAATACGTTCACTTGGAAGAAATTTCAGGATTTCTAATGGATGAGGATAAAGCTGATACAACCCTTACGTAGTATAAGCACTTCACATTTTCCTTAACACAGGCAGGAAGTGCAACCAAAATTCGGAGGTATTTCTTGAGATTTTCTGTGTATGCTTCAAATGTGTTGCATGTAAACAGACTTCTTCAGGGTTCGAAAACTGGACCAACAGGTACATTCTTGATTCCTCAAAGCATTGTTATTTTTGGACACTGTTAARCTCAACTCCAAAGCCTAGAAAAACTAAAGTATAGTTTAAACATATGTTCTCGTATGTACTTTTACCAAAATGGGAAGTGTAGACTGAGTTGTGCATGATTTGTAATACGCTTAGAACAAAACACATGATTTAAAGGATTAATTTGTGGTAACTGTAGCATGAGCCCACTCAATTGCAGTTTGTACCAGCTTTGCCACAAGACATTTTTTCTGAATTTGTGCTAAGCAGAAAGTGCCGTAATAGAAACTTCAGTCTACATAGAGTATATTATTTCAAGTATTTCATGCATGTAAATGTTTTCAGTGTTAACTGGCAAAAGCACTTTATTTAAAATGTGCAACAATGCAACTACCTTTCTGAAACAAAGCAAGGTTCTTCTGTTTGCCTGTTAAGTGTGCTTTAGCAGTTCTTAGAAATGTCATTTATTAAATGTCAAGTTAATTACTTGTAATATCAACTCTGAAAAGCAAACCTTTGTAAGAGCGCTCTCAGAGGCCTAATTTTTCTCTATTCAAGTCTGTCTGGTACATTCTAGTAAACAAATTGACGTCTTCAGTTAGCGACTAAACTATTTGCTAAATATGTGTATTTGTTTAGTATATAGAAGGWTATTTCATAATGGTTCAATGGAAAGGAGTGCATAAAATATTCTTATTTTAAGATAACCGGGTTTTTAAAAGAATGACTGGGTACATGCCAAATAGTAAATTCCCTTGTGTCTCAGGGAACAAATATTCTATGAGGTTGTTAGAAATAGACTAAGAATTTCCATTATTTCTAAACTCCAAAACCAGAAATTCTTTATCTGAGAACTCTTTTAACAAGCTCTGAAGTAGTATAAGAATGTATCTGCATGGGAACATGGAAGTTGTGTGTTCTCATTGTGTCCTAGTTAAACCTCACTTACCTGAGTACCTGTAAGGTAAAAATGCGGCTGTCTGAAAGTGAATRTTGAGAATGAAATGTCAAAGATTGAAGACTGGAGATAAAAGAGCCTGCGAACAGAAACAGGGTAATTTTTGCATTATGTTACRTGTTGTACCTACATGTGGGCCCAGGAACTTTCTGTCAAGTTTCTGTAAAGTGTGCATTCTACATGTGGAAGAGACGAGTAAATTTAACACGTTTATAAATAGAAAATTGAGGTTATGAAGTCAGACTTTAGTAATGTTATACATATCAAGAGYGAGTCTGGCCCCTGGGCATTTTATGAAATCCCATCAGGCTTTTAATTCGTAATGATCTGTATGAAACTAGACATTCTTAGACCACTCAAAAAAAAAAAAACCATTGGACAGATATCTGAGTCCTTGTATACCTTTAAAATCGGCTTCAAAGAAATGTGTCAGGGAAAAAAATATTTGACAAGTATTTTCACTTTTTGAAATTTTGAAAAAAAACATGTAGCAAGGTACTATGTCACCGCAATATTATATTTTTAAAAAGTATTTTAGATTTATAATGAGACCTTAAACACTTTATATTACCTGAAAATCTCAAAGACTTGATTTTATTCTGGTATATTTAGTAACTTTGTTGCTATACTCAAGTTGTTTTTAGCAACTCTTATCTATGTATATAATTCTATATTATGCATGTATGTAAATATGTGAAACACAGTATTTAAAATATAGAATTGCATTAAAATGTCCTTATTTTATTGCAACCTTAGCCATCTGAGACATACATAAAATATTTTTTTGTTGTGTAATTGCATTAAAAATAGATTAGATGGAAGTTGTAATATAGACAGGGAATACAATTTCATATTTTGCTGGTCTAATGAGCCACATTCTTATGTATGATATCCTGGCACTGCAATAGCCACTATACTTCAACCTCATGCACTTTGTCCACTTCATATTTTCAGACTATTTAAAGGGGAATGAATATAAAGGGGACYCTGAGCACCACATTTTCTGTTCACTGTTTCATTGCACTCTTAAACTGACTTAATAGACAAAATCAACAAAATCTAAATGGTTTAAATTAATCTTCCAAGAATTAATAATTAAAATAGGRTCTTCTCCATTTAAGTTACACATATAATCAAAATATGAACTGCTAATTCTATCTGCTACTAATAATTGCTTCTAAGTGCTAGAGATTAAAACTGAGTGTCCTATTTAAAAAGGCATTAGCTAGCTGTGAATTTTCATTAACTTCCTCCTCTCCTCTCTAACACTCATTTTATGGAGCTGAGTGGTCATTGGGAAAAAGAGTGCTTATGTGAGAAGTTTGATTTAAACTGTGACTTTTCTCACCCGTTTATTGGCTCACATAGATGTGAGATGAGCTTTCACAGGATTCTTGCAACAATCTCTGACTTTAAAAAGTCCATGAAGGTTAAAAGCACTTCTGGCTAATCTTACTGAAATGCTCTATGGAAAATGACTGGAGAAAGATGTCTTATATCAAAATGGAGCATGACAGAAATTTGGAGAAGAAGTTGTTATTTTGAGACATGATAGTTCAGTAAGTGTCAGAGAACCCGGGAAAGTATAAAGGACAAAGGTGACTTCTGTGTAAACCAAATACAAAATTGAGTAAGAAGCATAACATTTGTTTGTTAAATTGAATTTTAACTCACTGGTCTCTGGAATCAAAGAAGTGATGTAAACTTTTTTTTCCTCACCTCTTCAATCTTTTTTTGTTACTGCTGATATTTATTAAGTTGTTAGGATCCAAGGTAAATGATGATATGCCTGATGGAAAAGTACTTTGCCAAGCTGGAGGAACATACAGTGTAAGTAGAGAGCCCCAGTGTATTTGAACTTATCTGTGTTGCTCTTTGTTAGGGTATTTACTTCTGGTCTTTACATGATTCCTCTATCTTGCATATCTGAGCATCTCAGAGACTTTTTTCAAATACGACATCACTTCATAGGGGAGAAATTATTGCTGAGAGCAGCTAGACAGTATTTTCAAATGTTTCTTAGTTGACCGAAGTTTTTAAAAGTGACTTAATCCACTACAAAGCACACTTACTTATGACTCAGTCATACWTTCACGGAGTTAGGAGCTATAAAATCCATCCCACTAAATGGAAAACCACTTAACCAAATAAATGAAAGTCCAGAATGAAAATCCTGTTCTCTTTGTAATGTAAATGCTTGACTCAACAACACATATATCTGCATGTTTCCTACTTGTATGTAGAGAGCAGAATGGGCTGTGTTGTTTTGTTTTATTGTTTTTTTTTTTCAAGTAATGTCTGTGAGGTCAATCAATCCGGAGTAATTTGGCAATTATGGAACTGAAATTGTCCTGGAAGAAGCCAGGAGACTTATCTTCAGCGACCTGAAGGAATTCACGTTATGTTGTATTAGAAAGGATGCTATGATACTTTATATTATATTATTGAGCTTCCTGGATCTAGCTGGCAGCTATGGCAACTCTGAGGATGGCGGAAGAGATTAGAGAGGCTACCTGACAGAATAGGAAATGAGGTGAACGTGTCCTCAGTCTTAACCTTTGTACCACAGTACAGTACCTTTWGCATCCTTAATAAAAGGAGGAATAAGGAGAACATTCTTAGAAAAGAGGACTGTACCATAAACAAGGAATAGTTAGGTATACACATATCTCACTTGCATAGGTAAAGAAAAGATAGATTTGAAAATTCTGTCTTTCACCTATTGCCTACTTCCTAACAGTGGAAAAAAAAGGGATTTAAAAAAGAAAAGTGGCAACAGTACTTATATTTATTGTAATTACATTTGTGAGCTCATTTGCTTTTGAAATTATTAACACCAACTCCAATACACCAAGTACAAAACATAAGAATGGATAACTTCTCTGCTTCTTGCTGTAACTTTTCACATATGTGGAACTTTTATAACATTTATAACATTTCCCCCTATCTTCTCTCACGTAAGAARCTCTGGGATTTTTTTTTGTTCACTGTGATAATCTAGACTTAAAATATGTRTAAAGCAATGCATAAGATAGAAGTATAATGTCCTGTATATTCAGTTCAATGTATTAAAGTTATTTCAACTTGATGTTGTATTATCACTAACATTAAAGCTAAATAAAAATAGAGCTAAAAGAATAGGGAATGAAGCATCGTTGAATGATGGTATATGAAGGTATATATGAACATATATCTTGATAGGTGTACGTTATAGAGTAATAGTGGGATTAAAGCARGTAAGATAAGGTCTATGCTTTTTATAAATGCAGAAGGCCTTTCGCAGGAAAGTAGCGCACACTTTTTTTACCATTCAGGAAATCATAAATGTGATACATTACCATCTTATAACGAGAACCAAATTGAAAGTTAGCACCAGGCACACTTTATACTCACTATGGTAGAGCTGTAGTCATRTGAGAGATTAAGCTGTATCTTCAAAATAGCTTAGAAGCCAGCCCTGTTCCTAGTTTCAGCCAGCTGATTTTAGGCCTCTTTATGGAAAGTTATCAGGATAAAAGTGAAACTTTCCTTTTTTCAATTGAAAATATTTGTGAAAGTGAATTAAATGTAATGCAATATGAGGCAAGTTCTGAGACTTTCCCGTCTTTCTTGTCAYGGATCCAGATCAATTTGAGAATGTATTAAGTGGAAAGTTGAAGTACGAAAACGTCTGATTAACCTTGTAGAAAGAAGATGTCAACATCCCAGTTACACTTCTGGGAAATGAAACTGCTAAGAGATTATTTACTTGTGCTCAAGCTACTTAATTATGTTAAGTAATTTGAATAAATGACGTATTAAACATAATAATCTTCCCAACAGACAAAGTATACCAAGACTGGAGAGGAGTGATTGCACCAAATCGTATGAAGGACTCTGCTCAAGTGAGACACATAAACGTGAAGGCCAAGGAGGTATGTAAAATGGTCAAGTGTCATCAAAAGTTCAAGTTCTGTGTACGTTAGAAATTCCTTCAGTTTAATAATGAACTTTCTATGGTCGACTTATGTGATGGTAGACATATATGAGTAGTGTTATTATCAAAACAGGAGAATTAATTTTAAAGTTACTAGAGGAGCCGAGATTTTGACCTCAGAGAAGAAATAGTAAATTCCAGGCTAGCCAATATCTTGTGTTTCTTGTGGGCTCCAAATACTTTTGACAAAACCACAATGCTTCACTTTTAATGCATTTCATTTGAATGAGTAGAAATTCCGTGAATGTAAGCTTATTATGTAACGTGCGTATTGTATGCAGACAATAAAAAACAAACCCTTGTTTTCACTAAACCAAGTGAGTATTTTTAGTACTGTTTTTAAATATGCRTATTACAGATAAGATTTTAAAATTTCATGGCTTTGGAGTATTAAGATTAAATATTAAAAAATAATTTAAATAAGAATGTACCTTTTGGAAGTCTTTTATTCATATTGGGTGTGGATGGATCCTACTACTTAATAAAATGTTTTTAGTAGAGGTAAGTCCATAAGAAAATTCTTCTGAAGACTGAAAGTTGCAAGAAATAAAAGGGGAGCACTTGTTTAAGTGTTTCTTAGTAGAAATAATTCTTAATAATAATTAACTATTATCCCATTTTCTGCTGCTGTTATTGTGTGTTTTCACCCCACCCCATCCTCCCTTCATTCCTCCTGCTTGCACTGGAAGACAGATCTGGTCTCCTCTACTAGTGACAAATCTCATTCACTAGGCTTGACCAGTTTATACTCGCTCAGTTTTTTGCCAGCATTGCCATTTAGTTTTAGGATTGTTTCTTCTTGACTTTTCACACCCACTGCCACTTGAATCATTTGTGTCCACTGTCAGGCATTGTTCTTCTGGTTTAAAAGGGGTCCAACTACTTCTTGTTTCTTTTCATGTAGGATAATTCATTGCCTTAATTGCCCTAATAATCCTAGCAGTTATTTCCCTTCACAAAATCCAGAGAGAATTCAGCTTACTGGAATGCTGAGTGACCAGAGTGATACAGAATATGACACATTGTAGATCGATATTAAGATTTTTGTTACCCAATATTTTTAGGGCGAATTCTATTTCTTCCAACCATGGCTTATTGTCGTGCTGTAACTCACTTAGTCATCCATGTTTTCCACCATTATTTTAAACTAAGTAATTCTTAAAGTAGTTCTTTCTTATTAGGGACTTGGTTTACAAACTTGGGTTTTATATTGTTTAATTAATTTCTGTAATGCTAGTTGACAATGTCATCCAATTATTCTTCTATTATATGACACTTTGGTCTTCCTGACTTTCCTGATGATGTATCACAACTGCATRCCAGCTCACTGTTGCTCTGTCAAACATGAAGAGAAATAATCAATATGTGCACCAGTGACACACATCTCTGAAGAAATCCATCAGCAACCTAGACTTTTAGATCCATACCCTGTTGTCTCTCCCATACCTATTTCCTTTTTCACCTTCTAAATAATGAGAAACCAGAGCTATGATCCAGTTTGGCCTCATAACTGGTTTAGTATAAAATACCGCATAATACATAMATTATTTTTATTTAAAGCAGTATTTATAGTATTTAAAATAAGTTAAAAGTAAGTCCCTACATACCCTAGAGAAATCTGTGTGTACTAACTATCTAATGATTCTCGTTTGGAGATTTCTTATATTAYATCTTAAACATTGTATTTTATAAGTGGCCCCCAAGAAATAACCTGCAGATTGGTGCCAGGTATTTTCAGGGTTTGAAAACTGTAGTAGAGAAGTGTGGTTGTCTAAAGATCTCTTGCATGGCATTCATCAGTAAAGGCACAGAATCTAACTTTTATTTTACAGTATAGTAGACTTCTTGAGGTAGTTGCTGAGACTGTTTTTGGTAGTATTTCATTAAGTGTTTTGTTAAGCAGTGCTGAACAGTCAAAATGCCAGAAGATTTCAGTGGCAGGGACAAAGGCAACATGTCTTTAGAGACAATCCAGTGAAACTGCTGTATTTCTAGGTCTGTTGTCAATGCTGATGGCATGCCTAAAGTTGTCAGATTTAATCTATGTTACAAGCTTAGATTGATGGTGACTGTAGGCTAACTGAAAGGTATCCAAAGTGATAAGTGTCTATGGAGTGCTCTAACATGCAGCCTTAAGAATGTTCTACCTATTACAGTGTCTTAGGAATTTATGTTAATATCTTTCAAGGTGCAAGTAAGATATTAACTAAGAATATTATAGAGGTATCAAATGAGAGAGTGAAGTAACTCTTGCCATCTTAAGGCCTGCAAGCTTTCTTGAGTAAAAAGTTCATAGCCTGCATCTATATCTAAATAATAATATGAAAGAAATCAATTAAAAAAAAAAGCGGGAGGATGTGAGGATGTGAATATTGGGGAAAAATCGAATGGGTTAGGCTGGAAGCAGCATCCCTGTCTGTTTTTACATCAGGAATAATGTCCATAAGAAGAAACATTGCCCAAATGTATTAAGTTTCTACCTTTGACAGCATGGGACATGCCGGGTCGCATGCTCTGGGTAAAAGAGATGAAGTATCAGGGAGGCACCCGATCGTTAAGTTTGTTAGAATTATGTTGTATATTTACCCTAATCTTGAATCAAAATTCTTGACCTTACCTTTTGTAAAAGAAATATTTTCTTGATTATTAAGCTCATCTGATGTAAGAGATGAGATAAACCTGGTATGTTCTGTCTCCATGGAAGAAGTGAAAAAGAACTTGGTGTCATGAGCTGACACTGCTGAGAAACTATGTCCCAGGGTGAGTTTATGGAATTCAGGGAGTGGGACTATCTAGTGCTACACCGCAAACRTTATTAGTAACAGAGACTGATTTTACTATGTTGAACTGATGCTTATTTCAGCAAGGATAAGCCTACATTTGCTCTACAAGGAGCAAATGACTAAGGAGCATACCCTGCCCCTAGGCAAATCCTGAAGTTCTACAACTGGAGCAATTTCCCCCCAGAAATGTGTTAATTTCAGTGGCATTATTGTCGATATTTGTAAATCTAGAATATCTGCTATGGAGAGAAAAGGAGAAAAACACAAATGCTAACTCTCATGAAGCCAAATATGCAAGGGAGTATTTGGGTATGTTGTGAAAACCTGAAATAGAAGTCCTTGTGCTGATTGATTCAGGACGTTTTCTCCAAGATGAGTTTTCTGCACCCTAAGTGCCATAGCCGTTATGTAAAATCCCGTGGTTTTGTTCTGCAACAACAAATCTGAAYTTCAAAATCATGACATGTCCTGTGATGCTGACACAAATGAGCTTGTCTAAAGGTAGGACAGTGCTTTTCTATTGGTATAGATGACATGGCTGAGCTACTTTCTCCGAAGTGTTTTAAAGACCACTTTGTCTTGCCAAGGAAGTGACATTGTTTTCACAATAGATTCTGAAGAATATGCTTTCAACTATTTTCAACAACAGTTCAAATTTTTATGCAATACCCATGTTTCTTGTAGGTGAGTTACCATGTAAACATATACGCTTGCTCTGTAGAATATTTATTTGAAGAAAACCACATACAGTATCTAATCTAGCAAGAAGAAAAACTAATCTGGATTAAAGTACAGACAAGAAGGATTAGAGAGCATGTTGTTCGCAAAGATGTCTTTGTTAGTGAACATGTTTCATGTGGAAAGAAAATGATCTTTTAGAATATTTCCCTGTTTGACTGCACTGTCTGTCTTTAGTGAGAAGGCACCAGGGATCACTGTAGCATATGAATCTTGATAAAGATGTGCTCCGAAAGTGCCTGTAGTTTTGCTTACATCTCTACATAAGGGCATTGTTGTTTCTTAGAATGGCTTCATGTATTCTCTAGAAAATTAACAGAAAGGAGGAGGAAAAAAAAAGGTTCATTAAACTTTAAAATATTCTTCATAAATGTGTTTCCAAAAAGACACGTGAGAAGGAATACAATATAGACAAGGTGTAACATTACCAGAATACCATCATTATGAATTATTGATTTTTCTTTTCCTTTGGTAGGAAATAACTGTAGTGTTTTAAAAGCAATGATAGCCTGGTTTGCTTGCAATTTTTACTTTGGTAGAGTTTTGTGCTTGACCTAGAAAAGGAGACAGTTATGAAGATCTAAAGCTCATTCAGAGCTACCCATGAATTGCCCTTTCTGGCATTATGAATCAAGACTGATAAACAGTTTTACTGTTTATCATGCAAAATGGTTCCATGGTTCAATTTTACCAGTTTAAACAGAAAATAATAATCTGATTTGAACGAAATGCGAAACATGCTTTTCCACTCTATCACATCTGATCTACAGTACAACGATGAGCTTCTGTTCTTCTCATTGATGAATGAATGCCAGTTTTAATGTTCAGCGTCAACTGTGTACATTCTTCCTGTGCTACCTTGGACTTGGCAGAAACTGCTTGTAGATGGTGCACACAAACTCTTCAATCCATTTTTTTTTATTCTGTTAACTATCAATAGTAACAGAAACAACATTCATGTGATAATTTCRTATCATGCTGATGAAAGTTATTTCATTATTCCCTTGTCCTGCTTCATCTGTCTGTATTCCTCTGTTGTCTCTTGATTTATTTATTTTTTACTGTAATTGTGAATTATCTGGGCTAGTAATTCTCCTGATATTATTGTATTTAGATAATCATGGGGGCCTTGGACCAAGACTATAATCTTGAGGTGCTATGGCACGATACCACTAGCTGTAGTACATGAGCCGAGCTCTTCCTCTGGTTGTACCCTAGTCACCTCTTCCAGTCTTTCAGATAGCAAGTCCAGTTTGTTCAATGCTACAGTGGTCTGTGTGRTTTCATTGTAAGTTAATATTAAAAAATGTGGACAGAATTTATAACCATTTTTTGAAATATCAGTCCTGAATTTCAGTTTCTCCACAATTGAAGAAATGCTAGAAATATATATTCTCAGATGATATTTTGAATCATTTTTCATTCTTTCTTTAGTTTGATACAATTATTGCTATATGTATCCTGTGTGGAAGGTATTTAAGGTTACAAATAGATCTTTGCCCCTGTGCACAAGAGCAAGCACACCTAAAGTGGAATAGATCAGTTTGCTTTACTTAATTCTGAAATAGCTTTCTGTGCAGACATTATTCTTAAATAAAAGTTGCTTTTATTTCAGAATAATTATTCTGTTCACAAAGCAGCACCGGCTCTGAGACAAAGCTGAGACTTCTAACACTTTGTGAGTTTATCTCTGAATTCCTGCTGTGCAGATGGCACAGTGGGCTGGGGAGCAGCAGGACTGGGAAGCAATAGAGGAGTTGGCAGGTTGGTGAAGATGATAACAGGTGGCTTGTGAAGTGGAAGCAAGGTCTTTATTGCAGGCCACCCTTGTCTCCGGCAGAATAAAACTTAAAATTCAAGGGAGGAAGCAGCCTCAGATGAAAGCATATACAACTTGCTGGGCCACATACTGGAGACTTGAAAGGTAATTTGGGAAGCAAATGAAAGGAACTGTGAACTTCTGGATGTTCCTAAATACAAATGAGCTGAGGGTGTGAGATATCTAGAGGGAGGAATAACTGTTTGAAGGGTAACTACATATTGAGATAGTAGACCAGCACAAATGGAAGACTGGAGGAAAAACACTGTACGTGGCCTTCACATGAGACTTTTTTTTTTTCCTCTCAGCAACCTCATCAGAGTGCAGATTGCTGTAATAGCCAATTAAATTTCTTTTGCATGTGGGAAGCAGGAGACAACTCAATTGGCAAGTGGCTCATCATAGTGTGGAGCGTGAACAGCTCATTCTGAGTCAAACACATGCAGTCTTCTGTGTGCAAGAGTCTGAGRAGACAAAGCCATTTGACGCTTTTGTTATAGCAATGTATCACATAGCTTGGCTGGAACAACGTGCAAGCAAAACCTTTGTGTGTATTTCTCTTCTCTTTTCAGGGAGCAGTGGTATGATTTCTCTTACCCTTAAAAGGGGACGAACTTTAAGTTTTGTGGCCAACTTAAGAACTGATTGTTAACCTGAAAAGTTCTTCTGTTGTGTGTGGTGTTAAGCTTTGTAGGTAGTGGTCTGCTGATCAGTGGTTTATCAGCATATAAAAAAGGTCCAGTTTTCAAATGAACCTTAAAGACCCTGAAAACCTGACTTAYGAATCTTGAAACTCACTTTACAAATTTCAGAAAAAATGGTCTGGTCCTGGCAAAGAAGGGTCACATGCACAAGAGAATATTAGTTTCTGTTCTCAGCTCATAATCAAAATCAGCTATTGGTGAGTATGGCAAGAGGACTCAAAAATCACTTGGACAATGTCTTGCTAGTATTTGAGAAATACCCTGTAAATCTTAAGATATATTTGAAGTAACTTTWAAAAWATATATATATATTGCAGTATTTACACTTATAGAGTATTTGTATTGCAGTATATACATACCTTTATATAGTGTTTATAATAGTAGCAGTAATATAATAACCTAATAATAGTATTTATACTGCAGTAAATTCATTCATTTATTCCCACAAATGTTCAAAGTCACCTGCTGTAGAGTGGGACCATTCTGGTTCTCTGGTATTGCTAACTCAACACCAAAGGGAGTACAAAATATAATAAGGAAGTTAGCTATGGAGGAATGCAGAAGTAAGCAGGAAACATCAGCTTGCCTGTGTACTGTGAGGCAGGTGGCCAGCAGTGTGTACAGTGATGAAAGTCAAGCACATCAGGTCAGAAGAAGAATCASTGCGAGTGACATTTCCAAGCTGGGAAAATAGCTTGGAAGCTGGGCCGAAATAGCAAGATCTCCATAGAGCAAGATGAGGCTGAAGATAGTAGGTAATAGACAAGGCTGTATATTGTTGAGTATGAAAAGAAAAGTCTACATGATGAAGAATCAACCTGTCTCAGACTTTGCTGATTTAATTTAATTTTTTCTTTCTTCTGTCTTTCCAGTTAATGAGAGATTTCCAGACCAACGAAATGAAGAGAGCTGTGTCTAGTGATAAATCAGAAGGGAAAAGCAGGTACTTCCTTCCTATTCTGTTTTTTTGGTAACAATTACGGCAGATGAAACTGACTTTTTATTTTCAGAGCATGTTTTTCTCCTTGTCATTAATACTGAAAATGGTGAAAGGCATGAGGAAGTGTGAATGTGCCTTCATCTTTGTATTTATGTTATTTCCACCAGAATCCATAGATTCTATATGTCATTAAGTTGCAGAACTCCAGAATGAAGATTCTGAATTCTTTTCTGTGATGAATCAGATTCTTTTATGTGTCCTAACCTCTCACTAACAGCACAGGGACCTCAGGATGCTAAATTGTGATTTTATATCCTAARGCAACTAAACTGGCCCTATTGAAGCTGATAGCTGAATTTAAGACTATTATTGTATCTGCTGTTGGGTGGTCTTTATGCATCGTGGTTATTTCAGTGCTGTGTTTTACCGTACTGTATTACTGTGTACATAGTGAGTGCAGAGTTTGAGATGTATTTTTGAGTTTAAACAGTTTTTCATCATCTTCTTAATGTATGTCTGCACTAATGGTAATTATCTGGTCATCAAAATTCTACTCAGCCGTATATTGATTATATATATGCATATCTTAAGATTTTACTTGTAAAGTGATAATTTTTGGGTTGAGAACGTGCTGACACTTATGAGTAATCACTGGGCTCCAGTTCAGCACTCTTTCTATTCAGCAAAACACTTAGACATACGCTTAATTTTAACTTTGCTGCAGGTAAGCGTGAAGTTGCAGCCATCCTGACTCAGCATAGCATTTTAAATATGTGCTTAACTTTAAGCTTATCCTTACATCCCACTAAAGCTAAAATCAAACACATCTTGAAGTGACTCAATGAATATGGATAAATACTGTATTAAGTTTAATGAAATGAATTCTTTTGGCTGTTAGGTAACAAGAGATGCTTGGACATGATTTCCTACAAGCAAGGAAAATATACCAATGGGAGGAAGAAAAAAATCTGTGCATGGAAGTCTTAAAAGCTAAGCTGTGTAGTGTAGTATTTTATAAACTGTGGTGGTCTTCCTATGTACTAAAGCAAGACTACATCAGTAGGAATTCCAGACTTCCTTCTTAATGCTTCATTGGGTTTAGAATGTTCTATTTTTTCATTTTTTTTTAAACAAGAGGTTTCCAATAATGTATTTATATATGTTTAAAATTGCAAACCAAAGTTGTACATCTGGTTGCAGAAACTTGTGAAGAAAKTGATTATCTGTGTATAAGTGGTAAGGAATAATATAGTTTCTAGCACATTTTCCACAGTTTGTTTTTCTTTTCAAAGCTGAATGACTTAWTTCAGATCAGCATTCTTTGTTTCAATCCATTTTTGCTTTTTTCCTTCTTAAACCTTTACTTGTTTTATGCACTGTTTATATGAAAAGCTCTCTGCATTTTTTTTATTTCAGATCYTCTCTTTTTGCAGTTCATGAAGTCTTTCAACAGTGTGCTGTTAATCCTTTGCAGATTAATATGATTTCAGTGATAATCCTTTCATTTTTGAGTTTTTAAGWCATATAATCATTAAAGAAAGTGCTTGACAGATTTTCCATTAAAGTAGTACAAAGCAGGTGGTATGTCTAATGTGTCTTGGTAGCGCTATGTTACTTTTTATAAAATTAAATTTGAAGGTGAAGCAAGTARGTCTAGAGTAAGCTATTGATCTTTTCCCTTTGGTATCACAGTCCAAATCCAATCAAACAAAATATTCAGGGAGATGCAGATCAACCAGGGTTAGAATATCTGTTTGAATATTCTTTTCATATCTCTGTTGCTACAAGGGTCAGCTTGGGTTCTATGCAGATACYATAAAATGTCAAGGTTATAGTTGAGATTTGCCTACCTGCTGTGCCTTACATTTCACTTAACCCTTCTAGCAAGACAATAAATGATGTTCAGGAGTTGTTTCTCTTCAGCTTTCTGCACAAAACTATTTCACATTCTCAATTAAGCTGAACATATCACTGAAATATGCTTCCTTAGTTGGAACTGAAGGCTTTGAATTATTTCACAACATGTGGCACACAAATCTCTTGCCATGAAGATTTTTGGGCTACTAATGGTTCCTGGATCACTGTCCGTGATAGTCCTTCTCATCTTATTCCTTATCCCTTTGTTTTTTCTTCTTTKTTTTTTCCTCTGGTATTTCATGCATTTTTTTTTTTTCACTCTTCTTTAGTACATGCTGTTGAAATGATAGACGAGAAGAGAAGGACAGGTATTCAAATATTGTATTAATGGACACTCAGAAGAAATGCTTTAAAATTAGTATACAAGAAGTAGAAAAGTGTTTTAGCTAGAAATCAGAAGCACATTGAAAGCTTATTGAAATTTCTGCTTAAACAAATAGGTAATAGGGTTGACCTATCACAGCAGTTTGAATTTCTGCCTTTTATATAACTGAAAACTGATAGTTTYTTTGGGCAGGAGGGGAAGGAAGCAGACATCACAACTCTTTAGGAAATTCAGGTCCTGAACTTGGCAAACCTTTAGCTGATTTTGTCACATATTTGCAGCTTTAAAATGATTTGGCCTTTACAACAGCCAAAATAAGTGTCCTTTAATCACATCCAACCTATTAACAGATGGGAAAACAGCTTTTATAAATGGGGCATACAAAATACTCCAATATCAGCCAAAACTAATTAGTAGCAGTATCTGAACTAAAATTTAAAACTGATGGAATACATATTAATGCAGATAAAGTGTTGTAAAGTGTTGATTTGATAGAAGTTCCCTTCAACCGTTATTCTTGATATTTGTTCATCTTTAGTGTATTATAAGCCTTCATTAAATAAAAAAAAAAAWGTCTAGTTATTCTCTGAGAACAAATTTGCTTGTAAGAGGTGTAATTTGGAGCTTTGACTTTTTGAAGGTGTAATTGATAAAAATCACATTCGACAGAGGTAGATTGTTGTGGATTTTTTGGCATATAAGAGAAAGATACTTGATAACATTAAAAGTACTTTAATCTCTAAGATTAACAACACAGGATATTAATATCAAAAAATATTATGTGGATTTTTTTGGCAAATAAGAGAAAGAACACTTCTATACCAGTGTCCGGTGACATTAAATATAGTTKTACACTGTTAATCAGCATGTGTAAACTACATGAAATTCAAGTAAGAGATCATTAAAAAATGCAACACGTGTAACTGGGTAGGAAGACTCATTCAATGCATTAGTATCAGATCTGCAGCCTAAATTTGGCTTTAGGAAGACAGCTGCAGCACAGACACTGATTGTATATTCCATCTGTCAAACAGGCACTTGTCTATGTCTTTGATATCATTTGTGTTACCATGGCTCTAACAAAGAATGAAAATGGTTACAAACTCACTATTGTTCAGAAACACATTTCCATACAAAAGCATTAACTTAGAATTGTTAATTTTAGGACGACTTTCCATTASTCTAGGAAGACTTTCCTTCACTCCAAGTGCCTTCCCCAGATAATCTGTCTCCAACGCAATTTATATACTTATTTATGGGTCTTGCCTGTAAAATCAAACTCTATCTGGAATACTTCTGAATTATGTTAAGAAAGCACTTAAAACTTCTATTCTTGTTGGATAACWCAGTAGGAATTCTCAACATAGCTGCCTCTGATAAACTTTCTCAAACTTTGAAAAAAAAATTACAGAAGAAATGCTGGATTCTCTGTATATTTATATGCCCTTGTATGTAATAAGTCCAATAGTTCCCATTTGAGTCAATCTGACTGATATTCCTAGGTCTTCATAGACACTTCCTGATCAACCCAGAGCAGTATCCCTTGGACAGTCTCTGGTACCTTAGAACAGACGCATCACCCGCAAGCCAGCAGGAACTGTAGAAAGGCCTGTGGCAGTGAGGCTGCTCAGGGCACTCCTTGTGTTACCTGTGAAACTGCAATTTCTGTGAAAACCCTACGAGCAGATTCAAAAGCTGTCCTCCTTTGATAGAGGAGTTGGGGAGAATAATGAATGCACAGGCTCTTCTGGTGCTCAGCTGAACTAAGCTGGCAGAGGGGTGAATTCTTTCTTCAGTACAAAGGGTTAGAGTGTGTGTCAGCTCTGAAGCAAGAAGTGCAGCCGTGCTCCCAAAGTGGGAGTTTGTATGAAATACCTGAAAGCTTTTTGTTTTTTTAGCTGACAGAGATCATGATTGATGGGGCAGATCTGTCTTTGTGGTAGAGTGGAATGCTGAATAAGGACAACAGATGTTTTTTACTGTAAGAAGGTAATCTGATGAGAAATGCTCGGGCCTAGAAGAAGAATGTGTTATGGAAGACCAGAAAATAACTAGTTTGAATTCCAAATTTTGTCTCTAAACAAATGATCACAAAATAAAAAAAAAAAAAAAGCAAAACCAAGAAAAAGCAAAAATAAAATTTTGAGAAATATTCAGATTACCATTTCTCAAGCATTTTTATCTGACTAGCACCTTGCTTAATTAAGACCAGACATGAAAAATTTTTTTTCCTCTCGACATGATGATATTTCAAGCAGATTGGTTTAGTCTGGATGCTTACCACGTCCACAGTCTGGATCTGGTAAACAAAATTACAGCTGACTTTAGATCACATAGCTAGTTATGACCTTAACTATAAAATGATTACATYTGTTCATAATTATACTTTCAGAAAAAAAAAGGCAGCTGCCAATGTGGTATATGGAAAAAATCCTCAGTTACATTTTGGTTTACAGGTTGGTCAGTTATACAGTTTGAAATGTAAAATCTAACACTTTGAATATCCAACCTGTATGTTTTCATCATTTCCTCAGTTGCAGCATAGTCTATGCAGTTTTTTTTTTAATACATTATGTAGTTAAGACAAAGTTGAGGCCTTATTATTTTGTTAGTTTTGCAGTAGCACATAGCAATTCACATTATTGAAGTTTGTTACTTTTTTGGAGTTTCTGCTGTCTTTTTTTTTTTTTTTTGGCAAGTAAATCTGCAGTACAGTGCTGTCTTTTTTTTTTTTTTTTGGCAAGTAAATCTGCAGTACAGTGTTTCTGGGTGTGGTCTTATGAGAAAGATTTACTTTCAATATATTTCTATATATTATTTCTATATATCTATAGATTATTCTATCTATGTTTCTAAAAAATATTTGCTGAAAATTTCTTAGGTTTAATGAATAGCTAGCAGTGAGTATTGCCAGTTTTCCCCGGTACCACATAGGTGAATTCTTTTTTCACTCTGACATGAATTCATTATTTAAAAACTTTTATTTTCATGTAAAATTTATCTTCTAATGCCCTTTCATATCCTCCATTTTGTAAAATGCAAAATAGGTGAAAGAACTACACAATTGAGTAGGGGCTCAAAATGTTAGCATTATTTAAATAATATTTTAATCCATGTGGTTTACTAGGCCATGGTCATTGTGCACATCTRCAGATCTTCAGCAGAACATTTGACAAGTGAGTTTTTATACTAACTCTGTAATTATTGATGGTAATTGATCAAAAATTTCTTTTCAGACTATATGAATAAAAGGATTCTATAGTAGTTTGTAATTATTTTAGATAAGTCATATTTCATCTACTAGACTCAATTTCATAGTTGAAGCATTTTTCTACCAAACTTAAAAATAAATCTTCATACTGTAATTTCTAGTGGCAGACACCTTGACCTTCAAAATCAGAAGAAGGTAAAGAAAAATGAAGCTCACTTGAAAGACCGTGAAGCTTTTCATGATAGCACARTGCATCCTAACAGCGGAGAAGTGCTTAATGCAGTCATTTGCATTCAAAGATATGTGAGAGCATGGCTTGAATGCAGGGCATTCAGAAGAATAAAGATCAAGGTAATGCCTTAGTTGTTTAATCCATGTATTGTTTAAATTCTACTGGTGTAAGAATTTTTTATTATTGCTGTTTTGTTATGAAAAAAATGCTCAACTAGTTTGTCTTTCATCACTGTTCTGCATTTTGAAGGTTAGGAAAAAATCATTGATAGTGAGTGCTCTACTGGGACTTGATTTTCCATTTCCAACACTTGTTCTTAAGTAGACTCTCCATTAGATTTTAAAAGTAATGACTCGTGTGACATTTGCTCCCTCTGCCTTCAGAGATTCTTGGTGTACTTGCATRTTATACTGTTAATTCTGAGGCTTGCAGTTTTTCAGGTAGAAAAACAGACTGAATCTGAAAGACTGTATGTTGTGTCTCTTCCGTACGATTTTAAACATCAACCGCCAAAAAAAAAGTCAAGGATTCTATTTTTTCATCTAGTATTCCTAAATGAAATGCTGGTTCCTTAAAAATTGTATACTAGAGACCCATAATATGCACTTTGGCCAGTGTTTGTAATGAATTAAAAGATCTTACACATATTGCAGACTGGCTGCTTATGGAGACTGCATGATTTTAGTTATTTCCATTTTCTGGTTAGTTGTTAAGTCTTCTATCTTAAAAAAGGTGTACCATAACCAAAATGAAACCTAGTTCAGATAAGTGGGTCTAGTATGTACTATGTAATACATGAAACTGTTTATTAGTATTTCAGAATCTTAGACCATTTAAAAGAAGAAGAAGAAGGAAAAAAAACAGGCTATGTTATTTGGTGACCGTAGCCTTTAAAAATATTCCCTTGCTTTGCATGCTGAAARGGGGATTTTTTTCTGCTAGTATAACTAATGATGAGGTGAAATGGCATTTTTTGGTATCTACTCAAAACCTTTTTTTTCCTTACCAAATATATTTAATCAAAAATGAGGTCTTGATCATAGAGTTTCTGACCTTTTCAAGTCTTACTGTTCCACCTATTTTCTATTCCCCATGGTTCCTGATCTACTTCTGTAGTTTTCACAAGCCTAGAATCCCAATATAGTTTTATCCAGTCATCTCCCTTATCAGCACTATGGARTAATTATTTTTAGTTATTTGTCCGTATGTATTTGCTGTAACGGAATTTATTCTGTTTCCTTTTAAAGCTTTCATATTCACTGCTTACCTCACTTAGTTTTTCTGTCTTTAATTACAGGCTACAAGTCATGGACGATCCCTGCCAGCCGTTGTAAGGCAGTACCGGAAAATGATGGCCCGCCTTAGATGTCGAGCTGGTGTTTTGAATCTATCCACACCACTTCGGTATTTTGAGCTGGAAGAGTGGATGGACAAGAAAAAATGTTAGTTAAACATTTTTTTTTCTTAAAATGGTCTTTTATTTCAATGTCAGAGTACTTTAATTCATAACTTAAATGATGGACAGTGGTGCACTGTCAGGAAGAAGGACTTCTAATGCAACAGTAGGTGAAAAGGTGCAAAAGGTGCTATCGTCTTTAATTGTCTTAAAGCCTTATTCTTCATATTCCTTCTGACCATAGTAATTTTTTTTTTTTTTTTTTTTTTGCCAGGATTTTTGTCCCATTGCTTTGAAAATGAATTGCACTTAAACATCTCCCATAATGAAATAAAAAGAATAGTATGTTCGGAGAGCATCTTTAAAGAAGATACCTTTGCAAAGTTTTGGAGTGATTAATTTATTAGATATTTTGTATGTGAAATTAGTTTTTTACACCTGTTTTTGTCACCCCCCTATTTCTTCACCARTTTGAAGGCTCGCTGTGTAGTCAAGCATGTGAGAAGATACATTTTGTTGTTCAGCTACAGGGTAGAAGACTCAGACACTTAAAACAGAATAAACAGCAATAGTCAAAAGAAATATAAATGACAATAGGCTGTAAGCATAATTAACAAGGCACAGACAAGAAGGCCACTGTGTCTGATGACTATGTGGATACATAAAGCAGCTGAAGGAGAAGGAGATAGTTGACTTCTGCTAAAACTGATTCCTCCTTAGCCCCAACTGCTCTGTTTGCTGCCTTCTGCATTCTTTCCGGTATTACTATTGAAGTAATCCTTATTACACTGGAGATTATAGGAAGTTATAAAGGTAAAGAGAAAAGCAGACTGCAAAATATAATCTAAACCTTTTATATGATCAATTCAGATTCAGATCCATCTTCCTGAGCAAAAGGTAGCAGTTCTGTCACAGGAGATTTAGAATTAAATGAAAATCAATAGMAAATATCTTATTGGGAACAAATGCTGGAATGACTGTTCAGAATATTTGGGCATTAATAGAATGCTTTGGATTTGGAACATGTGATATGCAACCATGCTAGAGAAACACCTTAAYTAGAAATTCATCAGAAATACAAAATTGCCTTTATTAAATCTTTTCATTGTGTCTTTCAGTGGTATTAAAAGCACTGAAAATTGGATTTGGATAATCAGCTTCRTATCTAAGCCTTAGAACTGTGCTGCTTTTTTTCTTAAAGTATACATTAGCATGCCAGAGAGATAAGAATTTCCCTATTAATACTGGACATAGGATCTAATCGATTTTCTTACTTTCTAAGGTTGAGAGGTATTGTTTTGATCTTGGTTCTTAGTCCTTCAGTTCTGCATTCACAAAACTTTAGACTTCAGTATGGAACAGAATGACTGTAATTCTTAATTTGAGTGAATTTAGTGGAAATACTTTGAATTCCTTCTAGATAACTCACAGATGCAGACCCTGTAATAAATATATATGAAGCTTCTGAAGATTCATGGCATAGTTTTGAGTTCTAAATTACATATTCATGTCTTACATTCCTCAAATAATATAGGAATTATTGGTGCAAACATTGCACCAATAAAAATAACTAATCCTTCCATCGTAAACTGTATCCTCATGAAGCAGCGAATGTGACCAACCTGAATAGCTCATAATGTACTTCTGATGTTGGGTGACTGAAAAGTTTGCGCTACCCTTTCCGTTGTGATGAAATGCTGCTTGATGGTTGAATCACTGATGCATTAAAGAGAAGTCTTAAAAATTAGACCTTCAAAGCTGCTTTGTGCAGAGATGTGATCRCAGGCTGCAGCCCCATGTGTTGTCTCTTGCTGTTGCTGTGGTCTTTAAGTACAAAGTTGGACTTAAAAGGCAGATGTTGTTTTTCTGAAACGTTAAATTGACATTAATTTTCTCCATTTTATTGAAGACAGAGGGACATGCTATACACACTCATGCATAATATAGAATGCAATTTGAGCAACTTCTGCTAACCTTTACAGGGAAACTGATGGTTCCATTAATAAGTAGTTGACCAGATTGACTAATATCCCCTATCAGAAGAGAGATTTCTGGCACCAATTCTGCAAGAATCTATGAGCTAGGTAGATCAACTAAAATGCTATATGGGCTTCATAATATAGGAAACTCTGAAGATTTTTATTTTTAATCTGTAATTTTGCTTCCCGGGCAGTTTAAAATAAATCATACAACACTTATCTCTGAGCTAATGTCTTTGAAGCCATATCAATACATTGCATTTGTCAATAAAATARTTTACAATTTGCCCACTAGTATATGTCCTTCATGTTCTTTTTTAATTAGCCTTGGCAAGACATCTACAGGCATCTATTATAATGTCTTAGAGTAAGTTTTCCTCATGCCTTTATCTTAAAGGGAAGCAATTCAATATACTGTACTGCTTTTGATAGGTTAAGCTCTTTGCCAAGTTAAAAACAAGGCATTCTCAGTATAATTTTATCTACTTACCTAGCCTAGTTCAGTAGGGACTTAACGGTCGCCTTTCCATGTCAAGAAATCTTGATATGGGAAAGAAGTCTTCTTCAACCTGACTGTTCCCTTTCAGTTGCTCTAAGGATGCCTGGTGAGTTGCGCTTTAGTACAGGAGCAAGTCAGCAGAGACCTACCCATCCTCTGACCTCTGCRTAGGTCTAGTTTTTCATATCAAGTTTATTAATCATATTAGGATTCAGAAGAAAATATTTCTAATACAATTAGGGCATAATAATATATAGCAAATATTTCTGTAATGGAAGTTGCTGCTTTGGGCTTGTTTTTCAGTTTATGAAGCAATGTTTGACAAGAGACAGTTCTGTGAAGAGATGGACAGAAGTGACCTGCCTGGATTTTTCAAGGACTGTGGATATTTTATACCCGCCAGTGGAATTCAGCGTGTCTTACAGATGGTCTGCCCAAGTAAGTGGTTTCTTAAAAATATTTTGCAATTGTACAAAAAGTTCCACTGCAGATGTTCAGGCTTTGGGTATTTTTTGTTTGTTTTCTTGCGTGCATGTGTGCGAAAATAGAAAAGTTTCTGTTTTCATAGTTGATACAAAACCTGCCCACCAGTCATCTTTTGCAAAATGGAGCGTTTTATCTTTATACTTAAAATAAGGCGTATTTGGTAGAATGGCACTGTGTCAAACAACGCTGGAATATAATCCTTGTACCATCTTGGAATGCTTTTAAAAGGGTWCAGAGCAATTTTGTGGTGGTCTGCCCTTACGGATTCCTCCAGCCAAAACATGTACCTCGTTCCCATCTGTATAATATGGAGGTCCTAGCCTTCCATCATGTGTGGACAGTTCAGCCCAACAAGCTATCCCTCTCTCAAATCCTTCTCTCCTCTCTTCAGTAGCATGCTGTCATTTGGTTCTGGCCTGTGTAGGTGCTGTGAGAACAAAGCTGCCCTAAGCATGGCTTTGTGTTATGTATTTGTCTTCCCAAGTTTGACAGCCGTCACAGCTTTTGCAGACACTGAGCTTATTTGAGGATAACAGTTCATTTCGCATAGCAGTGATTTCCGTGAGTGCTTTTAAAGTATGTGTKTATTCTGGTGAGATTAAATTCATGTTTAATTGCTACCTTTGATTTGTTAATGACCTACGTGTCTGCTTTTTTGAGCCAGCTCTCTGTTCATGTTGCATTTTTGAGGAGAAGGTGGTCCTGTAAGTTTCTAACAACACATTGTATTTGCACATTTTATTACATTTCAGTGTTGACTTCTGGTAAATGCAATTAATTTCTCACAGAAAATCATATATTACATGTCATTTAGGTCACATTCCTAAGACAGTGTGAATAAGACCAGGTATTTTTAGTGATTTGCTCAATCCCCATCACTATGGTAACAGGAGATTTTGTGACTGTGAGACAGATTTCTGTCTTACATCCTAGCTTTGAGAGACTATTGCTACTTTTCGCTATGTTCACAGATAGACTAGAAAAAAATGATGCTTTCCCCCTCATTTTTTAATTTATTTAGTTTCTCCTAGGTATAAGGTGCTATTAAGTCTGATTCAGCCTTTTTGGGGAAGGCATAGTTTTTTTTTTTTTTTTTTTTTTTTTTTTTTTTAATTTATTAAACACAGAACTCTCCCAAATTATAAAAGTGCAAATGATGAATAATTGCTGAAACAGAGATGTGCCTGTGTCTGATAGGCACCCATAAAATGACTTCTAACATGTAAGCCGTTTGAATAAATTGCACTTATCTGTTAAGTACCCTCTCTTTGTCCATTTCACAATTCACATGTCATTATTTCCAAAGGTAAGTTATTAACAGAATATAACCTTGCTAAATTGCCTGGGAGAGACAGTACAACTGRTTTACTATTTTGATCTGTTGAGTTGATGCAGCCATCTCCTGTGCCATGGCAAAGCATCCTATACTGTTGGACTGCTTGTTCAAGAATGGAAAAATAAGGTGGGTCGGGGCCAGGATGGTAGGAGGAAGATCTTCTAGTAATTACTAGATGCAATGTTTGCATGAACATTGTATCCTATACCRCCATATGACTGATCCATGAAAGGTTAAAAACAAGAAATTGGTCACTTGTGGCAATTTACTCTGAATGCTGGCAGTTAAAAAGAAGATTCAGATTTTCTCTTGATCTTTCTGACTCATTTTACTCTTTACTATGCTCTCTCTCTTTTTCTCACTTTTTTTTTAATGAATCTAAATATTGCTGAAAGATCAAGTCTTGTTAAATAAGTACCCAAATGTTAAATGTCCTGTCACTTTTCCATTTCCAATAATGAATTGATGAGCACTGTCTTTGGCTAACAATAATTTAGGCAGGAAAAGCTAGAAGGATTTTTATCCCATATGTTCTTCTGAGAGTATTAATTACATCAGTCCTACATAACTACCAATCTCATTTGTAAGGGATCTGCTTATTTGAGGTAGTTTACTCTTCATAAAGGTAATAAAGCARAAGATTAGAAAGTAAGAATTATCTGATCTAGTTAAAGCAGAAATGTGTGTGATAAAAGCTAGTATTTATTGTTACACAAGAATGAACTTGCTGTCAAATGAGAAAAGAAGACTATCAGCTGTAAAAGCCCTACCAAATGCAAATTTCTAATTAAAAGTATCAGAGTAGGAAGAAAAAGAGAATATATGGAAGACTACAAAACAAACTGTTCTGACTTATACAACTGACTTAGGTGTTTATACAAGCAAAACAGTACTAATGAGCATTAATTTCACCAGATGAAATTCTAGTGATAACACCGTCAGGAAAAAAAGAAAGCATTGGTACCTGCAGTGGACTTAGGGATGCTGAATGGGGTCTCTCATAAGTATGTGTGTGATTTCCCTTGAACTCTGTTTTTTAAAATCTAGGGAACAAAGTGAGTTTTTCTTTTTGTTTAAATGAATTTGACAATGAATTTGATTATTTACATGCAGCTAAATATATTTTGTTCCACACAGTATGAGGAAAAATAAGTGTCTGTGTTACTAGCTTATGTATAGCCCATAGAGGTAAGGAATGGACTTGAAATAATTGAATAGTTTTCTGTCAATGATGAAGTTTAGCTGCTGGTTTCAAGAAAAAGCCGATTAAGATTAAGGTCACAGTGTAGGGCTTTTTAGATTCCATACACAAATAATGATGCTGTTTCATCATATTTCAAACCAATTTGTGCTGCTACTTCATTCTGCCACCAAAAAGCAGAATGTCTTGCATTATGCAGTCAGGAAAAATGCTGTATTTCAAATTAGAAAAATAGAGGTAACTAACCAAACTGTTTTTTGACATATATTGTAAAGTATCCATTGAAGTTATACATGATAGTACAAAACTATGTCCTTAATATTTTTCATAAGATAGTAGACTATGTTTAATTATACTTYTTATCTGTTCAGCTTACAGTGGTCTATTTAGGAAAATATTTATGTTGAGTTCAGTGCAACTGTGCATGCGTGTAGGCTAGGAACTGGGATTTGTAGCTATTTTGCTTCTGCATTTGCCTGAATTCACATGYATTAGAGACCAGTGAGTTTTTTAGTAGGACCTTCTAAGTTGCAAAGTGATGTGGCTTGATTTGAAACAACCCGGGAGAGCATGCAAGACTGAACTCTAGCAGATATGTGAAAGCAATAGGTCTTCATTAGAGTCACTGCCAATTCCCCTTCAAGCTGCAGACAGAGTGAAGAGATGCAGCAGATCCCCAGGGAATGCTTCCTTCTATAAAGCTAATAGARGATAGTAGAGCAGTCCCTCACTGCCCTGTCAAAGCTTGTGCTTCATAGCCTGATACACAGGGAGCCATCATCACTTGTGTTCCCACTGGACTCTTCCATGATACTGAGTGCCTGTTACTGGGGCTTCTAGGAAACTCTCATACTTTTGGAATCTCCACTCAGAAATAACACTGTATCACTGCAGCTTTCCTTCAGTGGACTTGGCACTTATTTCCTCTCTGAGGTCTTCACCACTGTGGTTCGTATTTGTGACATCTTAGCGTAAATTGTTAAATATAGACAATACCTAATAGCACTTTCCATTGCAGTTATGCCAGAAAAGCCTTATTTATAGAGCAGGACCCTTCTGTGTTGAGTACTGCACACAGTCTGAAGAAAATTATGCCTCCTGCATCACTGATGTGAAATTGCCTCCTAAAAGTGTTTATTTTTCTTTAAGTAAAAACTTACAGGAAAAGCCCCAGGAACCTATGGGAACAACGCTGTTGCAGCTTTCATGCTTCTGGCAGAACCCAGCACTCCAGAGTTTGGTTTTTTTTTTTTTTTGCTGTATTGCTGCTTAATAGTATTCTCCAAACCCATGTGGTAATGAGTGCTGAGGCAGAAGTAGCCTATCATTACAATCATTTAAGCCAAACATAGTGTGGAGAAATGGAAATCTCATAGGGAAAGAACTCCGCAAGTGAGTTGTTGCGAATGAATACATGTGTTAATGAAATGTCCTGGTAGAGCTATGGAGTGCTTTGCATGTGCTGCATAATGGCTCTGGATCAAGCCTAAATTAACATCTGATCTAATGATCCCTTCAGGTCTTTCTGGGCTCTGGGTCATTCACAATCAATTGCAGTGAAAGGAAATAAAAACTATGGCCCTCTCTCCAATAGCTGTTTTCCTTCCCCAAGAGTTACAGAGCAATATTCATTAAAAAAGTTAAAGAATTCCCACAACATCTGGAATGTTTGTCAACAAGAATGTGGATGGGTCCCTGCTGGTTACAAATGCCATCTAATCCATGTTTGTTCGCAAGCATTCTTTCTGATGTAGCACATAGATGCAAACATAAGCCTGTTTTTCATAGAATCGTTAAGGTTGGAAGGGACCCATAGAGATCTAGTCCAACCCCCCTGCACACGCAGGGTCACCTAGAGCTTGTGGCACAGGGCTGCATCCAGGCGGGTCTTGAACACCTTCAGAGAAGATTTTTCTCTCTCTTTTTATTTTTTTCCTTTTTAAAAGAAGGTAAATGTCATACTTAAGAAGTTAATTTGCTTGAGTGTTTTGCTGATAGCATATCATCAGTATGCCCCTTCTGGGCTTGGCAGATCAGAACAGGAAATTCAATTTGGGTTACCCACATGGCCCAGAGTACTTTAGGCCAGCCACCAACCTTGTTTTAACATGATTAAAATATTATTTCTTTCTGACAGTGACACTGGTCCAAAACATCATTATGGATTTATTAAAATGTCTTGATAATGAATTTAAGATCTATAGAAAGCAAATGATCTACTTAGTTGATGAAGAGAGTTTTTAGATATCTGTTCACACTTTGAATCACATTTAGAAATATTCTAAAAAAAAACTATATTTGAAAGATATTACAACAATCAGAGAAGTAAATTTCCTCTTTAAAATTCTCCTGTGCTGCAAGGTATGCAGAATGCTAGACAACCAGCAGTATGCTGACACTGCTGTCTGTCATCCA